TGACCAAAGACTGGCAGAAGTTTTGGCTAATGTGATAGAAGAATTACATCTTGGAAAGTCTGACTTTATTCTGCAACTCTTGCTTAATGTTAAGTATTGATGGGTCAAAAGATAATCACTTGACCCTCCTGAGACCGAGTGTTTCTCCTGAAGCACTTTCTGTGTTCAGAAACTTATAGCCTCTTCCCTGAGTAGACCCCTTTCTTAGACACCTGTGAGTCAGGCTCCTCTGGAACAACCCCAAATCCAGCATTCCATCCAGGCCCCTTCCCCAGCATAAAATGCTGATATGTCAGCATTTGGAAGAACCCACTATCTCCAACTGTCTTTGGCCAGCAAGCTCTGCATATCCCACCTGGCTTTTTGTGCACTCACAGCTTTCAGTTTCAGGCTTGTGGTCTCAAAGAAATTTTTGACTATTTGGGAGTATTTATCTAGGGTGTTACTTAAGCCAGCTGCCCCTGGTGAGATTTCTGAAGCATCTTCTATCACAGCTAGTCTTGGCTCTAGGAGTCAACTGAGAGAGCTGTCCTTTACCTAAAGCTAGTTGAGTGAAAATAAACTCTTAGTCTTACATTTGTAGTCCTTGAATTACTGTGTCTGCTGGTTTCATTGTTTCTAGAATTCTCTTTTAAGAAACTTGGAGGATACTTGGGGGGCTCAGTTGGTTAAGCAACGGATTCTTGATTTCAGTTCAGGTCATGATCTTAGGGGTGAGATCAAGTCCTGTGTTGAGTTCCTCCTTGAGAGTGGAGTCTGCTTAAGATTCTCCATCTGCCCCTCCTCACTCATACTCTCCTTCTCTCAAAAACATGAATTAATTTAAAAAAAGAATTTTTGGAAAAAAAATATTTTTATAGATGAATAATCAGGCTAACCTAGTAAATATAATATTGGAATTTCCACAATTACTGACTTAAAGATTACAGTATTATGTGCTTTGTGCTTTTTAGCTGTTAGTACTTTGAAAGCAAAAATGCTTTCTATGTTGGTGTTCCTATTTCACTGGGACTCATGAATGTATGTGTATGCTGCACTAAAAGCATAGTCCAGGATAAAATCTTTTCCTTTCTTATGTTGCATTTCCACAGGTTTGTTAAAACCCTTTCTGTATAAGTCAGTTCACTAGGTTTTCTGTTGGGTAAGGGTTCTGCAGTTCCTTCATCTGTCAAAATCTTCCTTCCACTAGTCTAGCTCAGCACTAGTAGGAAAGAACACACAGCTTTACTATTCATCTGTCTACTTTGATTTAGTACAATGTTTGATAGAACATTACTGACCAGAAAACATGGTTGTCACGTGTCTAAAAAAAAAAGAAAAAAAGTAATAGTTCAATTCCCAATGTATAACATATATATACACATACATAATTACATATATACTTATATATATGTAAAATAAGCCTCTGTACTGACTTTTCACTTGACTCTTATAGTTTTAAAGAATGAGCTATAGTCTAAGTGTGTTTCTGTGCTGATGTGCTTATTAGATACATTTCCACCATGAAAAATAAATAAAGAAATGAAAGAGAGGAGAGATTAAAGGACTAATGGACTAATGAATAGGCAACAAATAGTTGCCAAGAACTTGTTTTAGATGCTACTGTAACTACTAGGGACTTTACATGCATTAACTTATAATAACCCGGGATACCCGGGTGGCTCAGCAGTTGAACATCTGTCTTTGGCTCAGGGCATGATCCCGGGACTCCAGGATCTGGGACTCATCAGGCTTCCTGCATGGAGCCTGCTTCTCCCTCTGCCTATGTCTCTGCCTCTCTCTCTCTCTCTCTCTCTCTCTCTCTCTCTCTCTCATGAATAAATAAATTAAATCTTAAAAAAAATAATAACCCTTAGAAATTAATATTTCTGCTTGACAGATGGGGAAACCAAGGTCTAGAAAGGTCAAGGAGCTTATTGCTATATATCCCATTAATAATAAGCTATAAAAGCAGATTACAAATTAGAACTGCAATGACACCAGAATTTGACCCTCAACTATAAGGAGGTCACTGATACTATCTCTCAGTGAGATATTGAGGAGCTGAGCTAAGGCATGGGTTGGATGGAGAATAGTTAGTTGCTGTTAACTCATCTATATTGATATTAGAAAAAAAAATCCTCACCATTAGTTCTCATTCTTTTTTTCTTTTCTTTTTACCCCTTATAATGGTGGCCTAACAAAAAGATAAAGAAGTTACTAGGGTTTTTTGTTGCTGTTATTTGTTTAATTCCAGGGGCAGTATAATAGGACATTTTTATTTGTAGAATTGTTGGTATAGTGAATTTAAGTATTTTAATTACATATCTATCTCATCTATTAGATTTTGAGCTGACAACAAACAGACACTGTAACACACTGAAGAAGACAAGAAAGCAGAAATTATTTCTTCTTAATTTCATTCATCACTTGTTGGTTCCTATGACAAATTCATGTTGGAATCAGGACTCTAAATTAGGGAAATTTTATAGAATTACCCAAATTATGTTTGAAGAATTATTATTTTTATTTCTAATTTTTTCCCAAATGACACAATCTGTTTTTATTTTAATAATTCTTTTATTCCTAATTTTTTTTATTTTAGTAACTTTTTAAGACCTCTTTTCAACTCCCATAAGCTGCACCTACCAGCATGAGTTGTAGCACATTGAGAGACATATCAAATATAGTTACCCTAAAATAATAATATAATTAACCAGTATCCTTTAATTAATTTTATATGTGGAACAGTGTTATGTTCTAAAATGAATGTACATGTCATGTCAACTTTGCTCCTCATGATGTTCCTATCTACATGAGCATCTCAAATCATAAACAACTGAAAAATCCAATAGCAGTTTAAGTCAGCAACAGGAGTAACAAGCTACAATAAGATTATTTTCCAAGAGACTAAGAAGTAAACATGTCCAAAGAAGGTGCCGATGACTTCCTTTGGAGTTTAGGGTTAATAAACCTTACATAATTTAGACTAAACTTTAAATTATCAGTAGAATTAAAAGAGACAAGAGAAGTAGAACATTCTGCATGGATTTAAAACTTTGAAGGAAAAATAAAACTTTGAAGAAGATAGATGAAGGGTGTGATTGGGAAACAGCACACTTGTATACTTGGATTACAAGGATCATGAGAAATATGAAGTAGACTGGCAAAGTAAAACAGGAGAGCATGCAGAAAGTCCTAATAATAGAGTTTAATATTGCTTTTGTATCTTACCATTCCTATCAGTATTTTTAGTATATATGACAGATAATATAGATAACTATAAAGGAATGATTTTAGAAGCCAGGCACAAAAGTCAGAATTAATATTTGAAGCTCACCGTGGTAAGATTTTTGCTTGACAGCTCATAGGCTTAAAGTTGAATCTCAGAGTGTGTTCAAAGGCCTACAGATTCTGACTACACCAAACTAAGGCTCCTTAAAGACCAGACTATATTGCCTAGAAGACCAATGAGCTACTGAAAACAAAATTCCCATTTAGAGACCAGTAGAAGCCAAAACACAGTAGGAATGCAACAAATGCTTCCAACTCATTTTTTAATATGCCCAAGTGGAATAAGAGAATTATATGCTGCCTGGAGTCAGAAATACCTGACTTTGAACATGATTACTATCCCTTATTAATTGTATAACGTTGGGTAAATTTTTTTAACCTCTCTGAGCCAAAGTTTCCCGATTCATAAAATTAAATATATTTGTTCTCATCAATGTTATAAGAATTAATTGATAATGTAGTTCAGTGTCTAAGACTAGCATTTAATAAATGAGAATTCTTTTTCTCTTGCTCCTTCTCCTTGCTTCTAAACTGGTTAAGTTTTGGACATCCATTGTGCCTTTAGACCCACTTTATAGTGTTCGTATGCAGGTTCGTTCAGTACATCTTCTTTCTTGTGCTATCATATCCTATGGCACTGACTATATTTCCTCTACCACAGTATAAAGAAAAAAATGTAAGTCATAGATGCTCCTATATCCCTGATAACCTCTAAGACTAAGAAAGGATTAAGTAGTATGAGGTGAATGAATCAATGATCAAAGTCCTCACTATCACAAAATAAAATGTTATTGTTTTTTTTTTTTAGGTTTTTATTTTATTTGTTCATAAGAGACACAAAGAAAGAGGCACAGACACAGGCAGAGGGAGAAGCAGGCTCCATGTGGGAACCCTGATGCAGGATTCCATCTTAGGACCTGGGGATCATGACCTGATCCAAAGGCAGATACTCAACTACTAAGCCGATCAGGTGTCCCTAAAATGTTATAGATTGCTAAAGAGAAACAATTATTCAGTTCAACATTTTTTCATAGTTATTGTTCCAGTTGTTATAAACAGAGTATTTGTGGACAAATAGTCACTTGTTTTTAGTATTTTTATTTTAAAAGTTAGCCAATAAAGACACTATTCTGTATCGTATAGATTTTAAACAATTATATCTTTCTTGATAAAGTAATTTTTCTGTTGTAATTTTGAGAACTTTTTTAAAGTTTTTGAAAAATGCTAGTAAATATAGAAAAATTTTACACCAAGTGAAACTTGAATTTACAAATTATTTTCCCTGTACCATTCAAGTTCTTTTAGGAAAAACAAAAATAAAAAAACAAAACAACTATTCAGTAAATAGACATGTTGTATTATTTCAACTTGTGCAAATTCTGCCCCAATACCTGGGAAAAAATGATATCTCTAAGTACCTGATTTCCTACTGTACACGTTCTGATTACTTAGGGATACTATAGACACTTGCTGTAAATTTGATAAAACAGTAAGATATACTGACCTAGCTTACAAAAAGTGTTTTAAATTGTCAAGAATTCTCATTGCTTTATCTTTTTCACAGGAAATAGAGTTCTTTGTGAAATGCAATGCTATGCTTCTTCCAAATACAATTATGAAAATTGATAATTTATTTTTAATGCAAGGAATACTTCCATATAAATTTTGAATTTGGTAGAGTGTTTGAAAAATGAAATCACCTTTCTTTAATGCTTAAACTCTTATAGCTTATCCACACTGGGTGGAAAAACTGAATGACACTCAGTTGGACAGTGGGAGCCCTCTTCAGTGGGAATGTAAAGCTACTGGAAAACCCCGACCCACATACCGTTGGCTAAAGAATGGAGTGCCTCTCCTGCCTCAGGTACTGTTGGTAGCTGCTAATCTGTTCTTGTGTAATTTTAACCAGATTTCACACAGGACAAACTATCCTCTTTTTGTCTTATGGGAAGTCATTTCTCATTTATGCCTTCTAGTATATTTGAAGTAAGAACTATAACAGATACATAAAATTCTTAATTACCTCATTACTTTTTTGAGTAACGTTTCTTTAAATTTTATTCAATCTTAAAAACTCATAGAAAAATATCAATTATTATCATAGATTCATTTGCTATTTCCAGCTGACTTTTCAATATCATTTAGCTGGTCACTGTCATCTTGCAGATGGCCCAAGTAGTAAGGTGACTTGCCATTTCTAGTGAGAGATGAGACCATAATAGAATCCTAGCCTTCTGGATTAGGCTAGGAAATCTTAGACACGTTTTTCTTTGACAACCTACTTAACAGGATTTAGAAGACTTAAATATATTTTTAGTAAATCTACTGCATGTTTTTGAAATCAATTACTATTTCATTTTAGAATAATGGTAATAATTTTAGCTAATTCCCTTGTTGTGGCCTTTGCAGGAAGGAGAGAAAAGAGAGAATGGTTCACTATTTATGGCCAAAATGGAGGGATGTTATATAAAGTTAAAATTTTAAACACGAGGTCCTGCCACTACCCAAAGGTCTCTTATCTGCCATTTACCTTCTTGGCCTTCACTTTGCTCCTTTGTAAAAGAAGAGATTGGATCAGATTATCCCTATAATCCCATCTAGCTCCAACATTCCCTTATTACAAAACCAGACAAGTCAAACCATACACAAATACACAAAAGAAATACACACATACAAAGAACTATAGAGACATTAAAGAAAATTGAGGGTGTGAGACTCCTGAGACATTGATTCATTGTCCCTTTCCCTCTAATTTCCTAGGAATATCTTGAGAAAGGAATACACTGGCCATATTTTCTACTTCCCACATCCAATTAAATTCTACTGGCAGATAATACTTCTGCAAATTGAATAGGCTTATTTTGAAAATTATGTAAAATTACTTGGCATCTCTGTTGATAGATAAAGCACCGCTCACTAAAATTAAAAGAATGATTGCTTGGCATTAAGTAGACAAGGCATCTGGTTGTTTAATAACATTTTAAATTTCAAATTTGTTTTTGAAATGTGCTCTTGGCTTCACTTGACCTCAATTTGCACATGCATACTTTTTTTGACTTCTGTATTAAATTTTATCCAAAAATGAAGTAAATATGTTTGATAATTAATATCAAACATAGTTAATAATTTTATACAGATTCTAGTTAGTGGCAGTTTTTTCTAAATTTGTTGGGAGGTAAGAAAAAGGCAAACTTCTGACCAGATTAATATAGTAATGGGATTCTTGTTTTGAGTTGGGTTATTTTTAACTTTGATCCCACTTGTCTACAGTCACAATTATTACCAAATGCCACATGTGAACCTCCTCTTCTTCTGTAAAATGAATTCAAATAAAAGTTTCATCTGCTGATTATACTTCACAAACTGAACAAGCATACCATACAAAAGCTTCTCAGTATAAAAACAAAACTAAAACTAAAACTCATAAGAATAACTACAGGAAAATATAGTTGTAATATCTTTTCTGACCAAGAAATAATTATAATTTACAAAAGGTATTTTATCATAAAATAATGAACAGTAAATTTGTATTGCTAAGTTGTCAAATAATGCTCAACTGCATTCATTGGAGGCTTTTGGCCCTTGGTCTAGGAGAGAATAACTGCAAAATCTGTATGATTTATTCACTTTCTATACCTACTTTTTTATTTTATTACAGAATAGGATTGAGATGGTTAATGGAGTATTGATGATCCACAATGTGAATCAATCAGATGCTGGAATGTATCAGTGTTTGGCCGAGAATAAATATGGAGCCATTTATGCCAGTGCTGAGCTGAAGATTCTAGGTATACAATTTCTAAGCAGTTAAATAGGAAGAATGTGTAGCTTCTTTTCATGCTATAATTCTTACTATACTAAAGCTTTATGATGTGATTATAATAACCTATTTTATGACTTGAAATACTGTGTTTTGCTGATACATGTTTTTTAAGCTTAAGGGGACAAGTTTACATTGTATACAGTTTGTCCCTTAACTTTTCCTTATAAGGTCTTTCTAACTTTAGTTTTAATAGGCTTATTCTTTTCTATGATATGTAAAAATCACCTAAGCATTATATGTTAAGTTTCAAAAAAGAATATGTTGAGGGCAGGGGATCATAATGTACATTTCCAGCAGCCCTTCCATGTTCCCATAACAATGCTTAATATTTACTCATGAAGCTCCTACCTAAGAGTAGGCAAAACAACACTCCAAGGTAAAGACAACAATCCAAGGTAAAGCACTTTCTCATCATAGGATATCAACCATTATCATCATCCTTATAAGAAAAGAACAGCTTTTCTGAGGCTAAATCCAGCTGTCTTGGAGGGTTGCAGCTTTGATAAGGCACTAGCACTTCACTATTTAAGTACTACAGGAAAGATTCCATGCAGTGGAATAGGCTTCCCAAATTGAGCATGTTTGGGCCACTGAATGGATTTCACTTTTTCACATTCTAGTTTCCTCAGCTTTGGTCTGGGATGTTTCTAATACAAAGAGAGAGACTTAAGTGATCATAACTCATTGTTTCCCAAAGTCAGCAGGAACTCACTACTTGCTCTGCACTACAATTCCCAAAGCACAGTATTAACAGAAATACTCAAAAGCTTCAGAATTGGGGAACTTACCATTTACACATTAGCTAAATGTAACACACTATAAATCAGCTTACTGAATTATGAGTGTTTGCACTTGAAATTTCTCCGCATTATAATAAACCCATCTAAGATAGATACATGAGTGAGCATTACCACTTCCTACAGCCTAAACAATCAAATATGAATGTATTTTCATGTCAGCTCACACTCCAGTATTTCTGAATTAAAAAGCTAATTCAGGGGTGCCTGGGTGGCTCAGTAGGTTAACCATCTGACTTCCAATTCAGGTCATGAGCTCAGAGTCCTGGATCGAGCCCCATGTCAGGCTCCCTGCTCAGTATGGAGTATGTTTGTCTCCTTCCCTTTTCGATTTGTATTCTCGTTCTCAAATAAATAAATAAATAAATAAAATATTTTAAAGCGAAAGCTAATTCAGGCTTCACCTAGCTGGTAGTTTACCCAGAAATACTCTCAAATATGTCCTTTTCTCATTCACTAGACATATTTTCAAAATTACCTCTTATAAGGTCTGTTCCTAGTAAGCAAGCAAAATCATTACCTGCAGTCACAAAAAGTTCCTTCACTTTTCTTTCAATCCTCAACCCATCTTAATCACATACCTATCTTTTTTGTATATTTTTTCTTATTTCTTTGAGTTTTCTTATTTATTTGAGAGAGAGAGAGAGAGCAAGGGAGAGAGAGAGCACAAAGGGGGTAGAGGGAAAGGGAGGAACAGACTCCCCAACTAAGCAGGGAACCTGATGCAGGGCTCAATCCCAGGACCCTGGGACCATGACCCGAGCCAAAGGCAGACACTTAGCCAGCTGAGCCACGGAGATGCTCCAACATGTCTTTTAATATTTTTGTGCCACGCATTATACTAATCTATAATAGACATAAAATACTAATGAAATATCCATTAAGTTATCAAAATTGACTTAAATAAATGTCTCAGATACAATAGACTTTTAGACATATCTCTCAGGTTTCTGTAAGTCTGAGAAGTATCTTTGTGTGTGTGTGTGTTGGTCTCTGTGTCACATGTTCTTTTAGTTCAGTGTCCTCAGCCCACAGCTGCCCACCAGAATTACATTGTGAACTTTAATTAAAAGTAACATCATGTAAATCTAATGAAAACAATATTAATATTAATGATCAGACCTAGTTGAATAATTGCAAACAGTGAAATAAAGTTTTTAATTGAAATTTAATTCAATTTTTAAAAAACATTTAATTTTGTATAATATTAAAGTAAAATATGCATTAAGAGTCATAGATAGGAAATGGGTTACACATGATTATCTTCTTCACATGTGGCCTCCATTTTCCAAAGGAAAGCTCCAAATAGGGGATCCCTGGGTGGCTCAGCAGTTTGGCACCTGCCTTTGGCCCAGGGCACAATCCTGGAGTCCCGGGATCGAGTCCCACATCGGGCTCCTGACATGGAGCCTGCTTCTCCCTCCTCCTGTGTCTCTGCCTCTCTCTCTCTCTCTATGTCTATCATAAATAAATAAATAAATAAATAAATAAATAAATAAATAAATAAACAAAATAAATAAATAAATCTTTAAAAAAAAAAAAAAAGGAAAGCCCCAAATAGATGTTTTTGACCAGCCCTTTTATCTTCTGCTCAAGGTGCTCGTTAGTCTTTCACAAGTAAAATTGATAATCATAATTACATTATGTGATTTTTGAAACAAACTTTGTCTATGGGCCCCACAGCATAGAAACCATTACCTGCTAATTAATGCAGCCAATAAGATATCAATTAATTAGTTTCAAATTTTGAGTTAGTGCCTTTTACATGTGTAGATTCCTGTGATTTTATTAGAAATGTATCCTACAAGAGTGCAAAATCTTGATGAATCATCTATTAAAGGTTATTGCCATTGCTTCTGGTAGAATTAACATTTTTGTTTTCATAGCTTCAGCTCCTACTTTTGCACTGAATCAACTGAAGAAAACAATAATTGTTACCAAAGGCCAAGAAGTCGTCATAGAGTGCAAACCTCAAGGCTCTCCAAAACCAACCATCTCTTGGAAGAAGGGAGATAAAGCAGTGAGAGAGAATAAAAGGTTAGAGGTCTATTTCATAATTCAAACTCATAAAATCAAACTTTTTGAAGTTGCAGATGATACAGAGTATACAAGAAAGAGTTTGCAGTATTTTGAATATTTCATGAACAGATTAAAATATGATTTTGTCTATCTAGTGATTGAAAAGAACCCAAAGTTCTATCTCAATCAATATGGTCAGACTTCTTTGCCTCCATGGTGTTTTAGCACCAAGGGGAATTTCACCAGGTTATGAAGAAAAAAACACATTCATTAAGCTAGTTATTTTTTATTTCATCTTGAATCTGCTGATTTGGAAATTCACAAGTTATCTATAAGTTTTAAAGTTTCTGTTATTATTTTAAGGTTAATATTTTAAAATGATATAAGCATGGATCTTTTGGATAATGACTTTATGGCAGAGTACTTTCAAGTGAGATTTGTGTCTGGGTTTGCTGGGGTTTTTTCAGTCTTGTTTAGGCAAAATAATATAGAGTTACTTTAGTTGCCATATGCAAATTAGAAATATGCAGAGGAATATTTAATGTGTAAAGATTTGTTTTTAGTAAACAAAGCCAAAGGACATCATAGGAGTACAAATGGGGAAAAATTATGAGAGAATCAAATCATCATAGGACTATGTATGCCAAATTCAAAAGCCCAAGCTCTACTAATCATTAACATATTGGCATTGCAAATGGTGATTCAACTTTGACAAAATAATATCTTCTATCATGTTGAAATAATAAGGTTGCATAGGTCATTTTAAAAGTTTGTCTTTCATTTGCTATAAGCATAAAGAGTTTATGTCTTATTTTATGTCTGTCTGGATCTAAGTTATCATACAGTATAAGATAATATAAACCAGGAGTCCATTTGAATAATTCTTTAAGTAATTTGGGAATATTTTGAAATATTTGAAAATTTTCTTTAGAAATTTTTTTTCTTTCCCATTCTAACCTGAGAAACACTGACTTAAATAACCCATTTCAGATGAAATGACTTACAGACTGATTGGGTTTAGTTCAGGCACAAGGATCTATTATGCCTGGAAAAGGTGACCACCTGGGATTGAAGTGGGTTATGTTGGGTATTTTGTTTTGAAAGAAAATATCTTTGTTCCTTGGGGCAGGGGTCAGGGCAAAACCACAAACTGTGAGATCAATATTATCATATGATTGAATTGTATTTGGTTGAATTGCATATAGTAGAATTGAAATTTTTTTTATATTGATGCTCATAGAAATTTAAACAAACAAATAAAAACAAAACCTGGCACAACATTCTTAAAGCTGAAGAGAATATTTTTGTATAATAAGGTCAAATAATTTAAATTGATTATCATTTATTCTGAATGCACTAAAAATTTTGATATCATCAAAATATATTTGTCATATTGGTACAAGCCACTACATCTGAAATGTGTTACTTTGTGTTGTTTGTAGGTGCCATTTGAGTCTTGTCCTATTTATTTCAGTTCACCATAGAATGTTCCTCAAAAAGTATTCATAGACATCATATGATGAGCCTTAAAAATTAGGGAGCATCTCATTTGTCAAAGCAAATATATTGGGATCCCTGGGTGGCACAGCGGTTTGGCGCCTGCCTTTGGCCCAGGGCGCGATCCTGGAGACCCGGGATCGAGTCCCACATCGGGCTCCCGGTGCTTGGAGCCTGCTTCTCCCTCTGCCTGTGTCTCTGCCTCTCTCTCTCTCTCATTCTGACTATCATAAATAAATAAAAATTAAAAAATATATTTAAAAAAAGCAAATATATTGAGAGAGGAACAGGATTATGAATTTTCTGTTACAATAAATATAAACATACTAAACTTTTTTTTCCATAAGTTGAAAAACAGTTTGTAAATTTTCCAGTTTTCTTTATTCCTTTTCTCCTCACTTCTGTCCCCTTCAGACTAGTGAGACAAATATACTAGCTTCAAACTCAGATCACTCTATTTTCCAAAAGTCAAATTCTTCTGGTCAAAGTGCCATTCAGGAAGGAGGCTAAAATGTGAAATATTTGTATTTTTTTAAGAGTTTATTTTTATTCATGAGAGACACACAGAGAGAAAGGCAGAGACACAGGCAGAGGGAGAAGCAGGCTCCATGCAGGGAGCCTGACGTGGGACTCCTGGGTCTCCAGATTCACGCCCTGAGCCAAAGGCAGTGCTAAACCACTGGGCCACCAGGGTTGCCCCAATATTTGTATTTTTATTTTTCAAGTAAAAGCAAGACTGGACCACATATAATCAGCATTTTGCCTACTCCAATCTGTATATTTTTTGTAAACTCTGATCTATATGTTAATGCTTGTAAACTGATTCAATTTAATAATTCCAGAGGAATCTTTACACTTAAGATCGACAGACACACTTGCAAAATATTGTTTCAAAATACTGTTTTTACCAATATACAATTTGTTACTTTATTGTGTAGTGCCCGGTTTTATGAATAATAAACTCTATTTAGATATATAAATATTAAACATCCAAATATTAAAATAAGAGACTAAGATTTAAACAATAGACAAATTCCATCAAGCAGTGTGAGAAGGCATATGTAGATAAATGAAAAATCATGCATTATAAAAATATGAGTGGAAATTTGAAAATTAAAATTTAAAATGTACACATACATTTTTAAAAATAGAATACCAGTTACTTATGACACTTTATTTTTTTATAGAAATTTTTGTTCACTTCTCTCTGTTACAAAGCACACCAACTGATAAGAGTTGTGAACATAAATTTAAGTGGAAAAGGAAGTACTAAAAAACTGTTAAGGTTTTGAAAAGTTTGTGTCATGTATATTTCACATTAGGAATACAAATTCAAATCATGGTTTATTTTCATGGAATACAAGTATATTTATCATTCATGTGACCTATATCAATTAGGTTTTCCACTCATCAACCTATAATAATTGAAAAAATGTTAAATGAATTGGTCTTGTCTTTCATTCACAATTTTCAATTATTTTGAATTCATTTCAAATTAAAGAGTGAAACAGCAAATGGCAATTTCCTATGTGGGCTATAGAGACTAGTATTATATTGGAAGAAAGGAGAAAAAATAACAACGTATTATAAAAGAAACATTCAAAGTGAAAAATACAGCACTTTAAAAAGCATAAAATTATGTGCAGAGCAATAACACATTGTAATGAAAGATGTTAATTGCAGAAGTATGACATTTTATTATTTGAAAGCATGTCAGAAACTCAAATTAAAAAGTAGAATTTAGGGCAGCCCAGGTGGCTCAGCAGTTTAGTGTCGCCTTCAGCCCAGGGCATGATCCTGGAGACCCGGGATTGAGTCCCATGTCAGGCTCCCTGCATGGAGCCTGCTTCTCTTTCTGCCTGTGTCTCTGCCTCTCTCTCTCTCTCTCTCTCTCTCTCTCTCTCTCTCTCTCTGTGTGTGTGTGTGTTTCTCATGAATAAATAAATAAAATCTTTAAAAATAAATAAATAAATAAAATAAAAATAAAAAGTAGAATTTAAACCTATGTTTAACTGCAATTTAACTCTAAACTGTAAATGCAATGTTATAACAACAATATTATAACAACTAAAGGTTAACAATTGATTATTTGTTTTATCAACAGAATACCAAAGGTCATATTGATTTCTCTTTTTCTGCCAAATTTTTATTGAATCTTTCAAATTTTTTGTTTGTTTGTTTTGGAAGGGGATCTTCTTTGTCTTTTTTTTCTTTTTTATATGTATCTGCTCTACTAAAGAAATACATAAATCATTATCTTAAAATTTAAAATTTGATGAGTAGTAACTAGAACATGATATGAATTTTAGAAGAACTCTGATTAACAAAGAAGTTGCCAAAAAAACACCAAAGAAGTTACCTACTTATATATTACAAAATATTTCATTCATTTTGTTTTGAATGATGCAAATAAAGTATATATGAAAATAGGTTATATTAGAATTTGAGTTGTGTAGTTATTTCTTGTTTATATCACAGAATGTTCAATATGAACTGCTTCTCAAATCATATTAGTATTGATAATGATGATAACTGCTAATAAATCCATAGCGCTTATAATTTATGAAGCACTCTAACATTGTGGGTGACAGTATAACTCAATGTATAAAGCAAGACTCAGTTGCCCTGATTATCCTGTAGACTATGAGGTTTTCTTACTTATAAAATTATTTCCTTATTTATAAAATTTGAATTCAAAAGAATAACCACATTGAATTGTGAGACTTGAAATAAATTTTGTAAAGTTCCCTGTCTGATGTAATAAATGCTCAATGAATGTTATTTGTGATGATATTGATGTGCTGTTGCTGATGGTAGTGGTGGTGGTGATGATGATGGTATCATTCAAACTTTTGATTCTTTGAATACTAATGTATATTTCTGTTATCAGAAAGTTTTACCACTCCCCTTTCTTTCTCCAGTAATTAAGGGAATGGATTCTAAAGATTTGAGTTATTATCTGGGATTAAAGGAGTCTTTCCAGTCCTCCATGTGATAAATATGTTATTCCTTAATCTATGTCTTTAAATTGACATTATTTGTCCATCAGAGCCTCAAATCTACACATCATCATTCCTGGCATGGCCATTCTCATCAGCCTTTCCTACTCCTAGTCCTGTATCTCTCAGATAGTTTCTGATAGCAGACTGAACATTCAGTTGTTCCATAGTCTGCATTATAGGCCATGTGCAAATAGGTGAATATATGTGGAGAGTTAATGAAAACAGAGAAGCCTTTTAAAGATTTTATTTTACTCTTTGTCTTTGTCTTTTATTTTTTTCTTTTAAGGAAACTCCAGGTTTTGCCTTATCACTTTTAGAGATCATCAGCACACATCCATTTAGATTTATCAATCATGTCCTTTTTCATACTAAACTAATAAGCTCCAGGAGTACTAAGATGTGAAATGTTCCATGGAGATTTTTTCCTCTAGTATACTTTCATTCAAAATGTTCTGCTCATCAAACTCATATTGGATTTTCACTTCAGCTCATTATTTCCATTACTTGGCCATTAACTTT